TGGCCTCCGAGACCACCTGGGCGATGCCCCACCCGCCACACTGGGGCCTGGTCGTTGCGGGGAATAGAGGAGCAGCCTGGGTCCAGTGTGCGTCCTTCCTGACTGTGAGATAGTTGCGGGGAGGGTGGTAGAGTCTGTGGGAGGCCTTGGCTGGGCCACAGAGAGGGGTCTTTCTCCTGCAGAAAATCCAGCAACGCTGTCAGGCCACAAAGGGAAGCTGGGCTCCCTGTAGAAGCGACTGCCTTCTGTGAATCCAGCCACCCAGGCAAGGCGCAGGACTCAGTGGGCAAGGCAACTCACCATCCTCCCTTTGGGGTCCTCGTAATTTGCACTGTGCGCAAGGCAGGGTGGAGTCACCCCCAAATCACGGAAGAAAGGTTCTGCTGGTCATTGTCCTGTCAACAGAGACGCAAATGCCGAGAGGTATTTAATGAGGTGTGATCCTCACCGCTCACGACTCACAACTCAGAGCGGGTCTCTCTCCTTCCTGCTTCCACAGCCTCCACCGGCTGCCGTCAGGATTCTCAGGCAGTCCCCTCGCAATTAGAAGAGTCTCCTGTCATGTTTTCTTCTGGAGCGAGGCGTGCTCCAACTTGCTTCTGGGTTCTTAATTTTTGATCAGGGACAGCTCCTTGACTAATTATTTGTCAGTAACGAGGGAGGACAGATGGAGTTGTGAAAGTTCCCCCAAGCTTTTAGAAGGAAGCTGCAAATTAAAAAACGAGCTATTTGTAAACTGGACGCTAATTGGGTTAATATGAAAATGATGAGTTCTGTTAAAAATAGCAAAAAAGACCGTTGTAAAAATGAGGTCAGGTAACTCCAAGAACACCGCCTCATCTTCAATTGCTCCATTTGCTCTTCGAAAGTACGAGAGTAACGGAAGGAGACTAATCTTGGCAGTGAAATGTTACAGGCTAAATAATTTGTGCAAGATAAAACTTCGAAACCAGAAGCACTCAGTATGAGTGGGATGCCTGGAAATCATTCGTATTTTGAAGTTTCATAACTCTCTGATCCCTGTGTCCTTTGATTTGTCTCTCTCTCTCTCTTTTTTTAAGACAGAGTCTTGCTCTGTCACCCAGGCTGGAGTGCAGTGGTGTGATCTTAGCTCACTGCAACCTCCACCGCCCGGGATCAAGCAATTCTCCTGCCTCAGCCTCCCAAGTGGCTGGGATTATAGGCGCCCACCACCACACTTGACTACTTTTTGTGTTTTTAGTAGAGGCAGGGGCTTCACCACATTGACCAGGCCTGTCTCCAACTCCTGACCTCAACTGAGTCACCCACCTTGGCCTTCCAAAGTGCTGGGATTACAGGCGTGAGCCACTGTGCCTGGACTTTTTTTTTTTTTTTCTTTTAAAGTCTGAATCTCACTTTGTGGTCCAGGCTGGTGTGCAGTGGTGCAGTCATGGCTCACCGCAGCCTCCAACGGCTGGGCTCGGGCATCCTCCTGCCTGTGTCCTCAGGCGCACACCACCATATCCAGTTAATTTAGTTGTTGGTGTTGTTGGTGTTGTTGTTGTTAGAGGCAGGGTCTTGCTCTGTCTCCCAGACTAATGTAAAATCTGAAAATGGAGCCTGGTGCAGAGTAAGCTGTGTGTTGGGTGGGGCGTAACCCAGGGGCCATATTAGCAGTTTCACTTCTGCCGCCTGTCCTGGGCAATGCCTCATGTCACATGGGCGGGTTGCAGGCAGATACTGAAGAGTTGTGGGGAGAAAGGAAGGGGTGTGATCGTGAAGGTCGGCGAGTGGGCGGGGGACCTTTAATGGCTGCTCTGCGAGCCCCCTCCCCACCACCCACCACCAACTGCGCACGTCCCTGAGCTTGACTTCACGCTAGGGTGCCCTTTGGCCACAGAGAGGCCTGTGTGTCTCACAGTAGGAACGGGGCTGCCCCGGAAGCGCTACGTCTCGGAAATGAGTACGTGCTGGCTGCGGAGATTGTGCCCTATCTGAGCTCAGGAGGCTCAGTGCCAAGCAGATGTCTCTCCCAGGCTGCTTTCAGAGGACTCCCACACAGAGGGCTCAGAAAACATGTTTTTCAATGAGGGGCATTTATGGCAAAAACGTGGCTCCCCAAAGGGCTCCACACCCCAACGTTATTTCCCACGGCAAAGGGACTGGGATTCAGTTATCTGGAGATAGGGGGACGACAGGGCAGGCTCCGGGTGGACCCAGTGTCAACAGGGGGTCCCACAACAGGGGTAGAGAAGGAGCTGGTGATGGAGGCGGAGGCTGGAGGGATGCATTTCAGAGATGGAGGAGGGGTCACGTCCCAAGGAATGCCAGTGGCCTACTGAAGCCAGATGGGGAGGATGGGGAGGATGCTGGCCTCCTCCTGAGGCTGGGTGGGGAGGATGGGGAGGTGGGGACTGTCCCAGAGCCTCCAAAACTGGAAGAAGACAGGGAGGTAGGGATTCCCCCAGGGCCTCCCAAAGATGGGAAGAGGGGCAAATGTGTTCTTCCAGCATCTCCAGAATCAGCCAGCCTGCCCACAACTTGCTTTCAGCTCCCTGGGACCCATCTTGGACTTTGACCTACAGAAATGTAAGCGAGTAATTTGTCTCGTTTTTGCTTCGAATTATGTGGCCACTGGCTGCCGCAGCTGCAGAAAACACAGTGCTCTTGTCCACACAGTCCCCTCTTCAGCTCTTGTCTGACAAAAATAAACAAGGGGGCTGGTCGGGGCAGTGCCTCACACCTGTAACCCCAGCACTGTGGGAGGCTGCGGCGGGTGGATCACCTGAAATCAGGAGATTGAGACCATCCTGGCCAACATGGTGAAACCCGGTCTGTACTAAAAATACCAAAAAATTTAGCTGGGCATGGTGGTGCGTGCCTGTAATCCCAGCTACTCGGGAGGCTGAGACAGGAGAACCCGGGAGGTGGAGGTTGCAGTGAGCCAAGTCCAGCCTGGTGACAGAGCAAGACTCCGTCTGAAAAAAAAAAAAGAGAAAAGAAAGAAAGAAAAAAGACATAAACAAGGACTCACCCTGGAGTTTAAAATAGGGCAGGAAAATTTAGGAGTAGCTTCCCGACCCTCGTGTTACGGCGCACAGGGGGGCAAAAATTCCCCTTGAATCCCCCCTTGAGTGCCCCCCAGAGCTCATGGCCACCGTCACTCTGTGCCAGTTGCTCTTCAGACCAGGGAACAGACTTGGCTGTGGCTGTGCCAGGGTCCAGCTGCTATCGTCGTCACTGGACGAGGCCCTTGGGCCACCCACCCACCTCTTGTCTCCAACAAGGATGTTGAAAGGAGCCAGGCACCAGCCTCCCTGGGTTCAGGGCTCTCCTTTCCCTTCAGTTTCCTATGAACTGGGAGGTGGGGAGGAGAGGTGCGTGCCAGGAGGTCACTGCAGCCAAGGAACCCAGATTGGTTCACTTGAGAATGGACTGTGGGTACGCTTTTCAGCTGCAATGAGGCACCACCTCCCCAACTGGAGCCAACAGCCGTGAGTGTCCGTCACACACATCTGTGCAGTATGTAGGCGGAAATGCACCTGCTGTCCATGGCTCCTATGTCCCCTGCTGCACGTATCCCACGTGTGCACACACATGCTGAACACAGACCCACCGCTCCACAGCAATGCACCTGCATTCAGCGCGTGTCCCCCTGAGCAGTAGGAAGTGGGGAGCCTCAGCTGCCACGCTGTCACTTCACCTGGAGCAGCGAGTGATCTGAGAGCTGCGTGTTCCCGCTGTGCGTGACGCGGCCCTCCCGCGCCTGTCCAGGCAGTGGCGAAAAGCACCAGGCATCCCTCAGGACTATGCAAACAAGAGACCCCACACCTTCATCCCTGGGCCGGAGGTGTGAGCCAGGCATATTACCCTCAGCGTTTCTGCTCGGCCGGAATGTCGTGCTAGACCTGTTCTGGGGCCCCTGGGAAACGGGGACATCCCTGCAGGAGAGGTTTCCCAAGCTGGGGTTTTGTGGCATTTTTCTCCTATGGCCGCTGTGACCAATGGCACACACTTAGCGGCTTATAGCGATAGAGATTTATCTTCTTTCAGTCCTGGAGCTCAGATACCTGAGGGCAGTCTGCTGGGCTGAGAGGAGGCGTGGCGGGGCTGCCTGCGCTCCCTCCGGAGGGCCTGCGGGAGCGTGTCTCTTTGCCTCCTCTGGGCTTCGAGGCCACCCGCGTCCCTCACCTCTTGGCCCCTCCTCCGTCTTCCGAGCCAGCAACGTGGCGTCTTCTCTCCTCCCTGCCCTTTCTCCTCCCTCTTGGACGGACACGGTGGTTATGTCGGGCCATGTGGAGACTCCAAACCAGCCCTCCACGGTGAGAGTCTCACCTCCGTCCTGCCAGGTCAAGTCCCTTTCATCGAGTCCGCTCTGTGCTCTCGCAGGTGGCGGGGGAGGAAGGAGGCACAGTGGCAGCGTGCCTCTCTCCAAAACTGGGGACAGGGCCCCTCGGAATTCTCTGACCGGCGTTAGCGATTCAGAATTTGACATTACAGCTGCCCTGTAACGTTGAATTACCTGAACTTCCTGTGAGCGCGGGTGTGTGTTGTTGGTACGACGGAAGCAGCTGATTATCAGCAATTTCATGGTTTGGACCTAATGTTTTAAAAGACAGGTTCTTACCTGCTGGAAGCACACGCTAGGCATAGTACAGATGAGATGGTCTCCTATGTGGAATTCGCTGTGTAATGCCCCAGGAAGCAAAAGCCGGAGGTCAGGGTGACAAGCGCTGGGGACAGGCGGATGGGTTCCTGGGCCGTTCTCTGGAGTTCTGAGAGTGCTTGGAAATGTCCACAGCGAGGAGTAGAACTGAGTGCACAGCTGGGTGGAGACAGCCCTGTCCTGGCTGCCCTGAGCTCAGCCCTGTGGTCGCCCTGAGGAGGGGGACGGAGCAGGAGCCCAGGCTCCTGGGGGCAGAGGCAGGTGCTGGTCCCCATGGCTCCAGGCCAGGCTCCGCCCCCAGCTGCCCTGCAGCTCCAAGCCAGTAGCTCCAATGTCATCACCTAGGCAACCGGGACGCTGCTGCCACCGCCCGCCTGCGGGAGCCAGGAGCCAGCCTCGGGCCACCTCCATCTGGCCCCACCGACCCTCCGGGGCCCAGGCTCAGCCAAGGTAGGCTTCAGCTTGGCTGGTCCTCCTCTCGGCCTGAGTCGGGGGGGTCTCCTTGCTGTGGTGGGTGCAGCTGGTCCAGGGACCCACGCGAGGTGCAGAGAGCCCCTTGCGGCTGCCTCCCAGGAGGCAGGCTGGCAACGCAGTACTCTTCAGGCCAGGGAGGGGAGGCCATGCCTTACTGGTTCCCCTGATGGGACAAGCCACAGCTTTGGGGCACCCTGGGGAGCCATCTGCCCCAAGTGCCATGTCAGGGTTTCTCGTGTGACCCTGGGCTGGGGGAGCAGAAGTGGCCCTGGTACTGCTACCTCCCACCTCTTGGACCCACCAGGAGCTCTCTCCACTTTCTGCCAAGGAGGTGCAGAGTGACTGCCCCAGCCAGGCACAGCCAGGAGCTTCTGGGCTGGGGGGCCACCATCCTCAGCCTCACGCAGCTGATCCAGAAGCCTCCAGTCCTCCCCAGTCCCCTCACTCTCCTGTGGCCCCGGAGCCTCTCCAGCAACAGCAAGCCTTGCCCTGGCCTCCCCGGCACTCACGCAGCTACTCCCAGGCCTGACCCAGACCTGGATGACAGGAAGGGGCCGGGCACGTCCTGTTCCTTCTGCCTGCGTCGTGCTTCCAGGACTGGACTCCCAGGCTGGGTGCTCCTCTGGGCCCCATCAAACTGGAGGACAGGGGAGGGGCTTGTGGGGATTTGCTGTGACTAGGGCAGTGTGTGCGTGCCAGGGCCTGTGCACACGAGTGAATATGTCTGTGCATGTGCATGTATGTGCAAGTGTGTTGCTGGAGGTGAGGGGGTGGGTGGGGAAACTGAGTGACCGGCTCCTCCCTGAAGTCTTGGGGGAAGTCTGAGGGGCCAGGGCCTCCGGATCCTGTTCCCCTTGCTCTTAGCAAAGGTCCAGCCTGGCGTTCTGGATGGGCATGTGGCCTGGTGGGGCGAGACCATGGGCTCTTCCTGGCTTGCTGTGTCTTCTGGCTGCGTTTCCCACGGCTCTGAGATCTCTCTGCTCATCCCTAAGGCAGGGACACCACCCAGGTCTCTGGAACGTCAGCGTCATCTCCCGTAGTCTGAACTTACTCAAGAGCCCCATTTCCAGGTGGGGACATAAAGGAGCCCCTTAGAAGTTGGGGGGAAGGCCGGGCGAGGTGGCTCATGCCTGTAATCCCAGCACTCTGGGAGGCGAAGGCAGGTGGATCGCCTAAGGTCAGTCAGGAGTTTGAGACCGGCTTGGCCAACATGGTGAAACACTGTCTCTACTAAAGATACAAAAATTAGCCGGGCGTGGTGGCGCACAGCTGGGAGGTCAAGGCAGGTGAATCATTTGGACCTGGGAGGCGGAGGTTGCAATGAGCCAAGATCGCGCCACTACCCTTCAGCGTGAGTGACAGAACAAGACCTCAAAAAAAAAAAAAAAAAAAAAAAAAAAGAAGTGAGGAGGAAGTTAAGCAATTTAATCAAAGGGTGCTTCCCCCGAAGTCACTGTGGTGTGGCCCCGCTAGCTCAGACCAAATCAGTGATTCCATCATCGCTTCTTCGTGGACACCTACTGGGTCCCACACGGGTGCTGGGGCTGCAGCCTGGAGCACAGCAGGTAGGGCTTGGTGGTCTGGCCCGCAAAGTGTCAGCAAGTGAGTGTCTTTCCATGCGGTGGGTGCTGGAGGGAAGGAGGCCCGGGAGGCCCGAGGGAGACAGGCGTCTCTCTTTTTTTTTTTTTTTGAAACGGAGTTTTGCTCTTGTTACCCAGTCTGGAGTGCAATGGCGCGATCTCGGCTCACCGCAACCTCCGCCTCCTGGGTTCAGGCAATTCTCCTGCCTCAGCCTCCTGAGTAGCTGGGATTACAGGCACGCGCCACCATGCCCAGCTAATGTTTTGTATTTTTAGTAGAGACGGGGTTTCACCATGTTGACCAGGATGGTCTCGGTCTCTCGACCTCGTGATCCGCACGCCTCGGCCTCCCAAAGTGCTGGGATTACAGGCGTGAGCCACCGCGCCCGGCTGGTGTCTCTTAAATGGGGTGCAGAGGCCCGAGGCGTGAGGCTTCCTGCCGGCTTCCCTCGTGGGTGCCATGCTGGTCAGAGTGGGGTCCGGGCAGCCTCCCTCCGGGCTGGCACCTATGCAGGTCTCAGGGTTCCATGGAACTGCCTCAGTGGCCAGGTATGGGCACGTCCCTGGAGAGGCGTGGGGTGTGGGGGCAGGGAGTGTGGCAGGAAGCAGCCCCCTCAGGCCTGGAGTCACGGGGAGCCCAGGAACCGTGTGACCTTGGTGGTCCCACATCGCTGTTCCTGCCTCTCCTTAACCTATGAGCTGCCCGGGCTGCCCCTTGGCCGAGCTCCGCCACGGCCAGTGCCCCTCTGTGGGCTTGTGAGTCCCACGAGATCGCAGCCCTGCCCCGGGCCTTGGCGGCTCTAGGGCTGACCCAGCCATTCTGAGGGGCCTGCTTCACATCGGGGGCAAAGGCTGGGTCACTGTCTGCCCTGCAGGAGCCGGGGCCTCTGGAGGACCGGCTGCCTGGTGGGAAGGCGGAGCTCACTGGAGCCTAAGCTGGCCTTGGAGCTTCCGAGCCGCCCGGCCCTGCGCAGGCTGCTGGCCCTTGAGGGGCCTCTGGGAACACCTGGGAACCTCCCTCCGGGTTGCTTTGAGGATCGAATGAGCTTGAAGACATGGAGGATTTGGCACAGGGTGAGTGCTCAGGGGATGCTGGGCGGCGTTATCAGGAAGGCAACCCTGAGGGCCTATGCACAACACTCAGGACCGGCAGGGCTGCCCCCCGGGAGGGAGTGAGGGATGGGTGGACCCCGTCACAGCTGCTCAGGGAGGTCACAGGGCTGAGCGGCTGACTCCATAGCAGGAAGGGAGCACGGCCGTGAGGATTGGGCATTGAGTCAGGGTGGCACTCAGCGGGGCGCGTGACAAGCTCAGGAGGTGGATGGCTGTCTAGAAGGGCATGTCCCCTCAGATGGCAGAGTGGGGAGTGGTCAACAGTGAGACATGGCCTCGGGTGCAGAGGGTGCACCCCAGACCCCTTAGAGAAAAGCCCAGAGCTGCCGGGCGAGGTGGCTCACGCCTGTAATCCCAGCACTTTGGGAGGCCGAGGCGGGTGGATCACGAGGTCAGGAGATCGAGACCATCCTGGTCAACATGGTGAAACCCCGTCTCTACTAAAAATACAAAAAATTAGCTGGGCACTGTGGCGTGTGCTTGTAGTCCCAGCTACTCAGGAGGCTGAGGCAGGAGAATTGCCTGAACCCAGGAGGTGGAGGTTGCAGTGAGCCGAGATCGCACCATTGCACTCCAGCCTGGGCAACAAGAGCGAAACTCCGTCTCAAAAAAAAAATGGGGTGAGCTGCACACTGACCATTCGATGGGGAGGTGCTCAAAGGAGCCAGCCCCCTTTCTGCCCTCGTGTGTGCAGCTCTGTTCCTCAGCTTGGATCCTGTCCTTGGGACCCACCTCATTCTTCTCCCTCCACTGCTACCACCTGATACTAAGTAATCGTTGGTCAATTGCAACTCGATACTGTTTATGGGGCATCCACCATGTGCCCGGACAGAGGAGTGCTTTTGCTTTTTATATGCAGAGTTACTTCATTCCACCTAGTGCTTCTAGGACAACGCTGCCACAATTATCCCCATTTTACAAACCAGGAAACAGAGGGTCAGACAGGGTCACACAGCCGCAGAGCGGCAGAGGTGGGCTGTGTGGGCAGAGTGGGACAGGGGGCTGGAGCATGTGCCCAGCAATTCTGGGCTTCAGGGCAGAAGCAGTGGGCAGGAATCGTGTGTCCTGGTGTGACCCAAACACACATATGACAGCAAGAAGGCCTCGGGGGGGGGGGCGCGCAGCAGAGGGCAGGGCAGGCCCCTTGGGTGTCTAGATGTGGGTTAGGCCTCCATGTGTGAAGAAAGACGCAGGCAGGGGCTTCCCAGGTAGGGTTCGGGGTAGGGCTGTGCGGTGGGAAGCTGGCGGACTAGGGAGGGGCTTGCAGCTGGGCTTGCGCCTCCCTTGCTCAGCTCCAGGCCAGATCAGGGTAGAGCCAGGCTTCTGGGTTCGACCTCCAGCCTGACCGGCTGCCTACCCATGGGGAGCTGGCCTTCCCTCTCTGTGTGCGTCTCCTGGTTGGTAACGTGGCACGTGGTACGCACCCTCACTGCGCCGTCATGGGGTGGCCGGCATCCCTGGAAGGGATACACACAAGCCGCTCCACATGGCTGCGGGTGAACTGCCCTACCCAGGGGGCACCTCCACCCACACGGTTTCGGGCATTATTGATTTGGTCAGGGGGATGATCTCAAGCTTTCATAATGAGGCTCTGGGATTCCCCCAGGCTGTTCCAGGGGTCTGTCTCCCTCTCTCACTTCCCCACGGCCACGGCCCAGGAGGGAGAGGGCAGCCTGCTCAGGCACCCGCAGCTGCCCTCGTATTTCACACTGTGCCAGGTGCTCCACAGTGGGAGGATGCATCTGTGTTTCATCGCCATGCTCGGCTCCCTGGACCGGGGAGCCGGGGAACGGGGGAGCAGGCAAGCCGTCTGTGGCAGGAGGGGCTCTCAGCCACACCCTCCTCCCCGAGGCCCACAGATGGGTCTTTGTCCCCGTCCCTGACGGCAGACCTGGCAACCCTGGCCGAAGGGCCTGTCCCCATCTCACCCACTCGGGACAGAGGGTGGCCACATGGTCCTGGGCCTCCTGCCTGGGCTCTGTGGGTATTACCAGTGTTCCTGTGGGGCCCTGGGGCTGATGCCACCAGGGCAGGGGTTTTGCCCGGAAGTTGGAAATCAGGCGTTCCGTGGCTTCCGGTTCCAGTTCCTCCATGTGCTTTTTTCGTCCTGGTTTTGCTGGTCTGGAACCCGACGGCTCCAGGGAGGCACGTGGCTGCAGCAGGGCGGCAGGCAGCGGCCAGGCCGGCCTTCATGACAGTGTCCTCCTCGGGGGCCTGTTGCAGACTCTTCATGACTCCCTGGGGGCGTGGTAAAGGTGCAGATCCTGGGTCCCCCCAGCCCCCAGTGGGGAGGGGTGGCCTGGAAGAGGCATCTGCCCAGGCCCTCTGGACACACGCCTGCACCTGGAGGCCCGCTGCTCAAGTCCCAGGCAGGCAGGCCTGAGAAATGTTTGGGGACCCAACTCCCGACACGGAGGATGCCCCTTCCCCACCCCACGCCCTCCTGGTGGTGGCAGCAGAGGCCTGTGCCATGGGCTTGGAGGGCTTGGAGGGTTTGGCAGGCGGGATCCGGGACCCCCTGACCACGCTCACTGGCCTCTGTTCCGTGCCCAGGCAGGGGTGAGAGGCCAAGCTGGTGTCCTGCAGTGCGCAGTGGATGCCGGTCGGGGGTGCGGAAGGTGGGGCTCCGGCAGGCAGGGGTGAGCAGATGAGCAGACCTGCTGTTCTTAGGGTTAGTGGGAAGAGGGTGTGACTCCGAACCCAGCGGGAGTTAAAATGGTGCCAGCTTGAAAATGCGGCCGACGTCCGTGTCCCAAGGTCACAAATAATGTTTCGCTGACCAGTTCCTGGGAGCCCTTGGAGGCATGCCCCATCCACACCTGTTCACGGGGGCCCTGGACCTCCGGTCGGGGTGCGGCGGGATGCCGACGGCTCTCACGCTCTGTTTCTCTCCCCGTCTCTCTCTGTCTCTCTTCCTGTCTCTATCTCTCTCCCTGTCTCTATGTCTCTGTCTCTCTTTGTCCCTGTTTCTCTCTGTCTCTGTCTGTCTCTGTCCCTCTCTGTCTCTGTCCTACCTTAGCCTTTGTAGAGGGGACAACTCACAGGCTGGCAGATGAGGTCGTGTGTCCTGAGCATGACATTTCGGGGCTCACCCACACTGTAGCACGTCACATTCTTTCCTTTTTGTAATGTTTCCTTGTTTGCGGGAACCGTGTCTCATGTGCCCAGCCCTCTGCTGGTGGGCGTCTGGGCTGTGTGCACCGTTCGGCTCCCCGGACTGGTGCTGCTGTGAAGGGAGCTGGGATTTTGCCATCCACCTGCTGTGTGGCTGCAGCCAAGTCATTTTCACCTCTGGGCTCAGGCGGCCCAGCTGCAGAGCGAAGGGGCTTCAACCCAGTGGCCTCCAGCGGCAAAACCTTCCAAGGCTTGTCCTCTGGGATCGGAGGGAACGTCTTCCCTCCCAGTCCAGCCCCTCCAGTCCTCCTGCCTTTCAGGAAACGTGCCCAGGGCCCCTCACTTGTGCCCATCCAGCCTCGGCCCACACACTTGCACCGAGGGGCGACCTCTTGGGCAGTGGAGCACAGGCAAGGTTGGGTTCTGTGCACCCTCGAGGCCCGTGCCCGCCTCAGCTGGGCAGTTCTGCTTCCTGTCAGGTCCTCCCGCTGTAAATTAACAGGCTTCTGCCCTCCGGCACGTCCTCAGCTCCCCCGGGGTTTCAGGCAGCCCAGCCCAGGGTCTGAGGCCTGCAAGTTCACGCTGGCTGCCTGACAGTGAAGTGCGGTGGGGTGGAGTGGGGTGGGGTGGGGTGGTATTCTGAAGGGCCCCTGGGACATTCCTCACCTGCACTTAACAGCTGTGTGACCTCAGGCCTGTCACTTAACGCCTCTGAGCCTGCAGCTCCTGAAAAGTGGCAGAGCGGTGGTCACGCCCTCCTGGGACAGTTGGCTCGTAGTCAGTGCTCTCTGAGCTGCCTGTCCCAGGCCACCCCGGCTCACTGGCCACACCCCAGCCTGGCCTGTGCCACTTCTCCAGCACCCAGCACGTGGCGGCCCGGGAGCGTGCCACAGGCTTCCATCAGCTGCCACCTGCCTGGGGAAGGACGAAAGCCACAGGTTGTAGGCCGTGCCCTACACCCCGCCGGCCGTGGGCAGGTCCAGGCCTGCCTGCCTGGGCACTGCAGGGCGGTGGCCAAGCCAGTCCCATGGCACCTTGCCGAGGACCTGGGAGGCTGGCCCAGGGCAGAGGTCACCTCAGCCAGGGCTGGGGGCTCCGGGCAGGGCGGGCTCCGTTTTCCTTGTCCCCTCCCCCTCAGCGTAGAACCAGGGAGCCCAGCTGTGCCCCGCCTGGACACTGCCACCTCCTTATGGGTGCCCAGGGCCACTGGGAGCTGGGCACAGGGGCTCTCGGGAGCAATGGTGGAGACAGAGACCAGGGGACGGACTCTGGGGTCAGGGTTCCGCAGGCCCCAGGTGTCTCCTTCTCAAAGTGGGACCACCCAGGCAGTGGCCAGCTCCAGGACAGGGCAGCTCCAGGTTCCCAGCCTTGTGGGGCTGGGGCGCAGGGAGGAGCTCAGAAGGTGGGAGGATGTCTGTGCCCCACAGCAGTCAGCACAGGGAGGCTGTGGCCCAGGGCTGGGCCACATCCCTCACACACACTGTTCCCAAGATGGGGTGATCAGGACCTGAGCCACCTGCAGGCATGAGGGAGACCCCCAATCTGGTTGCAGCCTCCAGGCCTCAGGGAGACCCCAAACCTGGCTGCATCCCCCGGGCCAAACCTAGGCACAGTGGATCATGACAGTGACCACAGGCCTCACGTGCTCATCCTGGCCCAGGCATCTCAAAGACTGCTCCTCCCAAGGACCCCACGGCAGCCCCAGGAGCGGGCGCTGCTGTCGTCCCCTCTTCCAAGACAGCAGGTCTGCAAAGCCCCCGCGGATGGGTCTGATCCAGGCCAGCCACCTCCAAAGCAGAGCTGCCCACCTGGCCCTCGGTTTCCAGCCGTGGGGGGCAGCATGGACAAAATGAGAGTGGAGAGGGCACAGGGAGGGTGAGAGGGGCACCTGCCAGTGCTCGAGGGGTGCCCTGGGCATCTGCTGATGGGCATCTGGGCTGTGTGCACCGTTCAGCTCCCAGGACTGGTGCCGCCGTGAAGGGAGCTGGGATTTTGCCTGCCCCCTCCCGGGCTGTCACGGAAGGACAGAGCGCACATTCCCAGGGCACTCAGGTGTCATTCTTTCCTCCCTGCAGAGCGAGCTGCCCTCGGAGGCCGGCGAGGGGAAGATGGCCCAGTCCACGACCACCTCCCCCGATGGGGGCACCACGTTCGAGCACCTCTGGAGCTCTCTGTGAGTGCGCTTGGCTGGCCAGAGCTAGGGGCTCCCCGGGAAGCACTCTGGGCTCAGCCACCCTCATTGGGATAACTGGGCCAGAGCAGGAGGGGTGGCCCCGGAAAGACTGTGGGCCAGTCTCAGACATCCTCACTGGGACTCTGGGCTAAACTTGGCAACCCCTGCTGGGATTGTGGGCTGGCCTCAGACACCTTCACTGGGACTCTGGGCTAACCTTGGCCACCCTCGATGAGATTCTGGGCTAGCCTCGGCCATCCTTACTGGCCTAACTGGACCACAGCAGAAGAGGTGGCCCCACACTGGTCTTGGGCTAGCCTTGGCCACCCTCATCAGCTTGGGGACAGGCCTGGGTCAGAGGGGTAGGGAAGGGGGACTGCTGCCCTAGGCTTTCCCTGGGGAGGCAGAACCAAAATTCAGACTCTGTTCCCTGGCCATCTCTGCAGAGGGGCCACGGCCAGCAGAGGCCCAGGAAAATAGAGCCCGTGACTGGTTCTGTGTCTCCAGCAAGCACAGCGGCCCTGGAGGGGCGGGTGGAGGACGGAGAAGGGATGAGAGGGCCTGGGAGGGGCAGAAGGCGTAGGCCTCACCAGGAGCCTCGGGCTGGCCTCGAGCTCTGCACCTGGCAGGTGTGGGGGTGACGCCAAGCCTGGGGGCTGACGGTTACTGTTTTCCTCTCCTTGCCCCAGGGAACCAGACAGTACCTACTTCGACCTTCCCCAGTCAAGCCGGGGGAATAATGAGGTGGTGGGTGGCACAGATTCCAGCATGGACGTCTTCCACCTGGAGGGCATGACCACATCTGTCATGGTGAGTGGGGGCTGCCCTCTGCAGAGGACTGGAGTGGGGGCAGTCAGTGTGGCCTGTCCTGTCTTGGGAGCCTGGCAGAAGCAGAAGATAGCGTCTTGGTTGTATAGCTTCCCCTGTGGGTTTCTCAGCGCACTTCAAATTGCAAAAGAGAAAATGTATCAGCTCATGTAACTGTCAATCCAGAGATACAAATGGATTCAGGCATGGCTGGATCCAGGTGTAGAAAGGGCTTCGGGCATGGCTGGGTCCAGGTGTAGTAAAGGTTTCGGGCGTGACTGGGTAAAGGTGCTTCACGGCTGCCTCGCTCCGTCTCGTGGCCTGCTGTCCCCTGCAGTGGCTTTGTTTTTGGTCAGCCTCTCCTCTCGTGGTGAAGAGGACCAGGCTCTCCCTGTATGCCCTATCCCTGTGGAGAGGGCACCCCTCTTTTCCCGCAGCTCAGCAGCCCTGCCTCTCGTTGATCTGAATGTGGTCATGGGCTCATCTCTGAGCCACCCCTGTACCTCTGAGTGGCCTGGGCCCAGCGTGCCCAGAATAGGGTGACGATGGAATGGAGTGGGGCAGGCCCCCCGACAGGGACCCCCAAAGGAAGATGGAGGTGCTATTTCCAGGAGAAGAGGACTGGAGGAGCACAGGCAGGGCCAGTGAGGCCGTGACACCCCGTCGTGGCAGGCTCCGGCATTCCTGGGAGTCTCAGGCCCTGCCATGTGGGCTGCTCCTTTAGGGAAAAGGCCAGGCTGTGGGAGCTGGTGGGGGTCTCATTCCTGCCCGTCTCTCCCACTGCCCATAGCCAGGCCCCGACTGTGCCAGGAGGTGGGTGGCAGGTGGGCAGCACTCGAGAGGAGAGGGCAAGGACCCGACCCACCCCGGGAGGCCCAGCACGGCCTGCCTTCCCTGTGCTGGGCCCCGCCCGCAGGCTGGCCGCCCTGGGCCCAGGGATTCCTAGGTGGGGAACTTGCTACGTGCGCTGCAGGAAAAACAGCCCGAACTGCGGGGACAGGCCCCCGAAACAGCGCACGGGGTGGGGCGGGTGCAGGGGCAGGTCCCGCCTCCCTCACTTATGGCCAGCTCCAGGCAGGGCCTGCAAGGGAAGGGGCAGTGCTGGGCCTTTGGCGGACGCGAGGACACCCAGCCTGGCCCTCCTGCTCCCTCAGGTCCCCATTCCAGGAGCTGGAGTGCACGCCTGTCCGCGGCATGGGGGTGGGCGGCCCAGCCACCCTGGGCACTGGAGGGAGTGCGGGCCGTGAGGCTCCAGTCAGATGAGCCGAGTGAAGTTGGGTTGGGGAGGCAGAGGGTCCATCGCAGATGCTGGGCTGTTGCACACCCATATGGGGCCAAAGAAGGCACATCCCTGGGCTGTCGCAGCCCCAGGGCAGGGGGGTGTCTGGAAGGCAGCAGCACCCATTCCTCCGAGGAGCCCCTCTGCCTGGATCTGAGGGTTGGACCGCCTGCTCCTGCCCGCCCACCCCTGCTCAGGTCCCAGTGAAACACTCGCCAGCATTCCACACGTGTTCCAGTGCCATGTTATGGGTGAGGAAACTGAGGCAGATGCTGGGAAAGGGTGGGCTAGGGACGGGGCCGGGCAGCGTGAGAAAGTGAGATAGCGACCTCTCCCCTCTCTCCCTTTGGAACAATTCTGCCGGCTGCTCCCAGGGGACAAGGGTCCTGACCCCGCCCCCTCCAGGTCCCACTCTGGACATCCATGTCCTTCACTTTGGGGAGGCGCAGGAACTGGCCACTGGACCCCAGGGAGGGAGAGAGGAAGACCCGTGAGACTCTCTGTCTCCTGAGATGCGGAAGCCACCTCCCGACCCCCAGGTGCTCAGCGCCCACTTCCCCTGCAGAGGATGGAGGGCCCCTGAGACCACACAGACCCTGCACCTGGAGGAGCCAGGCTCAGGGAGGCGGAAGGAGCAGTTCTGCATTCCTGTGGATGGGGCGCACCTGCCCCGCCAGCCCCAGAGGGTTCCCTGAGCTTCACATGGGAGTCCGGTCTGAGCCCCCGCCTGCTGGAACACGCCACTCTCCAGCCACAGGGTGACGGTGGGCCTCACACCTCCGCAAACAGCAAGGTGGCCAAATCTGTCAGGCAGCAGCATGGTGCTTGAATTATTTGCTTTCGGTCACCTTCTGTCAGGCTGTGGTGGCCCCAGGTAATTGACACTCCTGATGCAGCACAGAGGTACTCAGGAGGGGCACTTCTAAAGGGCTGAGGAGAAAAATGCCTGTTGGGGGTCAACATCCTCCCAAAGCCATGTAAGAAATTCCTGGGTGCACAGCTCGGCTCAGGGCGGTGGGGATTTCCCGGAAGGAAGGCTGGCATGGGCCCTCGTGGGGAGCGCCAAGCCTCATTCTGATCCCAGGGCCCAGCCCCCTCATGACAGCGCTGCTGGGCCAAGGGCATGCGGTCTGCTACCTCGGACCCCCGTGGGAGCACCCGGTGCAGACAGAGACTCAGAGAAGCACCGACTGGCCGGCTTGGGCAGCCTGGCATGGGGCCCAGGGCTTCGCTGCCTTGAGAATGGCCCCTGGCCCACTGAGCCCAGGGATCCCAGAGCAGGACAGGAGCTGAACCAGGGGCATGGTTTTAAAGTGCAGCCCGGGAGCTCAGGGAAGACGCCGTTCTGCTGGGGCTGGGGACCTGGACCCGGCTCAATGGGGATGCGGGCGCGGGGGGGCTCTGCAGCTCAGGGGTCCAGTTCTAGCCCCACCACGAGGCTGGTGAGCTTGGACAAGAATCATCGCACAGGCCAGGCCTCGGGTCAGACAGGCGGTCTGGTGCCGGATGTTTGCAGGGCTCCTGACAGACGTGAGTTGGTGGCTCCGGCAGAGTCCTACTTGTGGAACAGGCTGCACACGCCCCTGCCCCCACCTGCCCCGGCAGTTCCCTCTGGCCACCTGTCCCTGGGTGCTGGTGGCATCTGGCCACTCCCATCCTCAAGGATGGGTCTGGGGCTCGTCCAGCCATAAGGCCTCAGCTCAGGCAGGCACAGTGCGTGAGCTCGGGACCCCAGCCCTCTGCAGTGGGGCGTGCCTTCTGGGTCTCGGGGACATGGTTTGGGAAGGCGGGGCATAGACAGGAGCAGTGGAACCCTCAGTGGGCCTTGGAGGAGTCCCAGGCCACAGACTTATCGGCGAGACCATGAACTCCGTGTGGCCACAGCAGGAAGCGACCCTGTGGTCACTGTGGCCATCTGGCTTCGATGGCCCAGAAAGTCCAGCAGGTAGAGGTGGCTGTGTGGGACGCCGAGGCCCGATTTGCTGGGATCAGGACTCACCGCTTCCCTGCTAGTCGGGCAACACTTAAAGATTATGTAGCCTCTGGGCCTCCAATTCCTGTCCATAAAATTGGGCTACTGAGAGCATCCACGTCACCCACCACGTCAGACAGACTTGAGGCTGTCTGGTGGTGCCGGTCCCACTGGGAGCATGTGACAAACGCTAGGTGTGAGGGTGAGGGCAGGGAGGAGGCCCTGTATTTTAAGAGAGCTGCAGGCTGGGCGCGGTGGCTCAAGCCTGTAATCCCAGCACTTTGGGAGGCCAAGGCGGGTGGATCACGAGGTCAGGAGATCGAGACCATCCTGGTCAACATGGTGAAACCCCGTCTCTACTAAAAATACAAAAAATTAGCTGGGCATGGTGGCGCGTGCCTGTAATCCCAGCTACTCAGGAGGCTGAGGCAGGAGAATTGCCTGAACCCAGGAGGCAGAGGTTGCGGTGAGCCGAGATCGCGCCACTGCACTCCAGCCTGGGTAACAAGAGCGAAACTCCGCCTCAAAAAAAAAAAAAAAAAAAAAAACCCAAGAAAAAGAGAGCTGCTCCTTCAGAGACCAGAACAGCACAGCCAGCAGGGGCTAGGACAGGACCACCGGCCCAGCAGGGGTCCTGCCTGAGTCGCTCCTTGCCTGGGGCTCTGGTTGTCCCTGAAGACCCTATGTGGCTCACAGGGACCTCACTCTAAAATAGGTCCTGCAAGAGGAGAGCAGGGGGAAGCCTGTGGCCCTGGCCTCCCTGTGAGCTGGGGAGGGTGGGCCGAGGAGCCACAGCTAAAACCGGCCCAGCCCCTGCCCTCTCGGGGCCCCGGCTGTGAATGAAGAAGGATTGATGTGGCTCTGGGTACCACCTGGATGGGGTCTCCCTGGCCACCCCCAGACCGCTTGAGAGGAGCTGCAGAGAAGAAACCTCCCCGGGACGCTCGCAGGGTCGAGGCAGTGGGAGCGTGGCTGTGGGGGTGGGGATTCTAATCCTGAGGGACCCACCTGAGGAGTCTCTGCAGTGCTGGGCCTCGGCTGGGGGTGAATCCCCACCCCTCTGAGCCCCAGCGTCCCCTCAGACAAAGCCAGGGCAGGGTAGTGAGACCCCAGGTCCCCGCTGGCTCTCAGAATGCTCCACAAGGAGGGGGGACACGGGAGGGGAGCAGGGAGGGGAGCAAAGAGGAGAGAGGCAGGCGCCCCCACCTCCCTCTGCACCCCTCCCTCCCCCTCTCCCTCCTCCCTCCCTCTGCACCCCTCCCTCCCCCTCCCCCTTCCCCTCCCTCCCCCTCCCTCCCCCTCCCTCTTTCGAGCCTCCTCCAGGCCCGGCCCCTCCCCCGAGTCCCTTCCCGCCTCTCCTGGCGCCTTTCTCTGGCGACAGCTGTTGTGGGCAGGTGGGCTACAGAGCAGGGACTAGGGCTGGCTGGAGGGACAGAAGGCGGGCTGATCTTCCCCGGGGGCCCAGGAACCCAGCAGCAGCACAGACACCCCCAGTCAGAACCTTCAGACACCTGGGGCTTAAGACCCCTGAGACACAAGTCACTCAGGATAGACCTTGCTGATTTGGAGGAGGGGCATTCTCCCCAGGCCCAGGAGAAGGAAAGCACGGGTCCCTGTGTGTGTGTGTGTGTGTGTGTGTGTGTGTGTGTGTGTGTGTTCCCCAGGAAGGGGCAGGCGGGCACAGGGGGAAGGGTGCCCCTCCCTTCCAAGGAGGCTCTGCAGCTGGAGGAAGGGCGGGGTGGGGCATGGGAG